GAGGTCACCCATCCTAGTACTACTCTCGCCCAAGCACGCTTAACTGCGGAGTTCTGATGGGATCCGGTGCATTAGTGCTGGTATGATCGCACCCGTTAGTACATGACTCGAAATTCAATATATCCTTCGTTTTCCTCATCACGTTATGGATTAGCGTGGGACCTTCATGGTTTGGTTTGCATTTATATTCCAGCATAAAGTTGTAGTGAGATTTAAGTAGAATTCCCGGGAAAACACACGGAAAACCCAGATTTCGACTTTTTTTTAGTCATCGACATTAAACTGCCTTTTTGAGGGTCAAAACAGCGGAATTTGGCGTCCGGAAAATCGCGGCGCCTATTCACCGCCATTTATGGTTTTGGGGCGTTTCCGAAATGGTGTTATGGGCGTCGTAGTTCCACACGGTTCAAAAGTTATGAAGTTTTTAAGTTTAGAAACGCTTTGGTGTGCAAAAAAAAATAAAAAAGGGATACAACACGAGGACTTCCCGGGAGGTCACCCATCCTAGTACTACTCTCGCCCAAGCACGCTTAACTGCGGAGTTTTGATGGGATCCGGTGCATTAGTGCTGGTATGATCGCACCCGTTAGTACATGACTCGAAATTCAATATATCCTTCGTTTTCCTCATCACGTTATGGATTAGCGTGGACCTTCAAGGTTTGGTTTGCATTTATATTCCAGCATAAAGTTGTAGTGAGATTTAAGTAGAATTCCCGGGAAAACACACGGAAAACCCAGATTTCGACTTTTTTTAAGTCCTCGACATTAAACTGCCTTTTTGAGGGTCAAAACAGCGGAATTTGGCGTAAGGAAAATCGCGGCGCCTATTCATCGCCATTTATGGTTTTGGGGCGTTTCCGAAATGGTGTTATGGGCGTCGTAGTTCCACACGGTTCAAAAGTTATGAAGTTTTTAAGTTTAGAAACGCTTTGGTGTGCAAAAAAAAATAAAAAGAGATACAACACGAGGACTTCCCGGGAGGTCACCCGGGAACTTGAAATTTTAAGGTGGAGACGAACATTTTGAAACTTCAAAAATAGAATTCAGTGTCACTATTCAAAACTTCAAATTTGAAGTTTCATATTTTTATTTGCATTTTAATCCTTATAATTATACATTATATTTATAAGTTTTATATATTTTATGTTTTATCATTTTAACCCTTAAAAATTCTTATCTCATTAATATTTCATTTTTTATAAATTAAAATTTTACACATATTGTTTTCTTTAAAAAAACAAGATAAGATTAAAAATAGTTAAAATTAGAACTAAACAACAATATCACAAGACTTAATATGGTATTTTATTTATAGTTTAATATTTAATTATATATTTCTATTAATAATTAAGATTATAGTGTAATATTTTACCATTTAATATTGTGGTAATATTTTTATATATGTGCTAGTTATTTATAAAAGTTCTATGAATTTGAAATAGTTAAGACAAATATAAGGACCATAGTACAAAATACAAATAATTTTAAAATTAAGTTTGAAATTTTGTTTTTGGAGCATAACATTTACAAACTTCATATATAGAGTTTTGCAAACTCTAAAATAGAGTGTCTTTTTAGAGAATTTACCGAACCAAACTATTAAACAAAATAATTTATGTATGCATATAATCGGACAGATCAATATCATTATCTATCATATTATTAATTTACTAAACTGATGAATACCAAACCAAACAATAAATTATGAATCATTTATATATTTATTGCAAAGAGATTGATAACCCGATATGTTTTAGTAATTGGATAGCATCCTAATCAAAGCATCAAAGCAATAAGCAAATAATCATGAGCCAATCAATTGTAAAGCATAAGGATACTTATCTCGATGATTGGGATGAATTACGACAGAGACGTCATCCGTTTTGATTTGGACCAAAGCAATGTTAGAAACGTCGGAGAATGGAGATAACTCCGAGTAGGGTTTTGTGAAGTGGTTAGGATTTTAGGATTGCGTGATGGCTAGGGTTTCGTTTTGTGGTTAGGGTTTTTACTTAGAGTTAGGGTTTCGTGTTAATAACGTGTTGTGAATGGAAAGAAAATAAGGAATAATGGAAACTAGTCGCCTTAGAAAAAAAGGAAAGACAACCGCCTAGATCTAAACTGGACGAACTATTTATGGGCTGTTTATGGACAATCTATTATATGGTTTATAACAATTTTATTGTTTTGTAATAGTGTGGACATCGGTCCTTTTTTCCTTTTAGTGATAGATTATACTATAATAATATTTTTTGTAATAATGTTTAAAGAGAAATGCAGAGTCAACATCACGACTAAGCAAGTCTATTTTGCATTATAGATACTTCTCAGTACCTAGACCTAGTTGGCATCTCAAGCCGGTCCAACCGACCTGAACCAGGATAAGCCTTGTTCATAAAACTGGTGTGCAGACCAAAAACCTTCAGCGGACCAGACCTCGTATCACCACAGTATGGCACATCGACAAATCCAAACCGTTTCGACGAAGACTGCTCGTAATACAACTGAGGTCGTGACTTTGGGGCACTAGCAGACCGGGCCTTTGCCCTAGATGACTCTGTACAAGCCATGAATCTTGGATGGTCTGCATAGCAACAGCTTTTGGTGCAATCACTCGGTGCAATAGAACTTTCCGTGAAAGCAATGTTCTTGCTTATAGTAGCTGAGTGTAACTGAGGACTGTTCTCTGCAGTGCAAGACTGGTTAACAGTCTCTTCATGTGACGAGGACGGGCTGAAAGGGAAGGTGTAAACTGGTCCGGACCGGCCTGATTTGTCTATGACGAGGTGAGATGAGTAGAACATGTCTGGTCTGTTGTGTCTTGTGTAAGAACTGTTGTGTTTCCAATCGAATTCAGGGATCCTTTCTTCTTCGTTCTTGGCTGAGAAATGTCTGTTGTTGTTTGCCATAGAACCGTTCCTCTGCAAAATTATAATCCAATCTCTTAGTTTAAGTAGTAGTAGTAGTAGAAGTCACAATAATGATAACGAAATGTAAAATACATAAAATCCTGACTAACATAGATGCAATAATGAGAAATATTACAAAACCTATTATGTTTGGAACATAAGCCTATTACCTTTGCAACTTAAAGCATTCAATAACTTAAAATTTTCAAACAAATGGGACAATCAGCAACTAAAAGAAGAGAAAATAAAAATGTAATACCTTGAAAAGATGAGAATGGCCGAGCTTGTAGCTGCAAGAAGAGATCGAATGCTCTAGTTTTTCCGGCGTTGGTGGACCCTTATGGATGAACAGAGTTATTAAAGAGGAACCTTGAACTGAAAGATTAGTTTCTGATTATGTAAGAACAATCTTAAACAGGCTTACGGGGTTTTGGAAGTGAGAAGATTTGGTGTTGCTGGATTGAGAAGATGATGATTCAGGTGTGACGTTAACACGAGTGGCACGGACACGAGCCTGAGCACGAACCAAAGCTTGCATCCTGCACAGATGGACCGACATCCTCTTTCGTTCGATGTGGCCTCTAACTATAGCTTGAAGCTTGACTAATCCCTTAAGTGCTCTTAACGCTCTCCTTGCCTTCATTAACATTAGCCAACAATAAAAAAATTGCTTTAAATTTTAAGATTAAAAAGAAACGACACCTCCAAGAGCTCATGCTCTTATTATGGATAGGACCACTAGAGTATACAGAATTTTAAATAAGCATTTAATCTGATGGAAGCTGGCGCCAAAAGGAATGAAAACAAAAAAAATACTTGACATTTAAGAAATCTGAACTTTGTAATATTGACGAGGATATCACGAAAATTAATATGATGCAACCATTTACATAATTACATTTATTGTCACCCACTCTATAATAGGCAAAATGAGTCTAACTATTAATGAAAGTTGAAACAATGCGACTTTTATGCTGTTCACTAGTTCAAAGAAAAGGGTCTGAATTGTCTTTACACGCTATATAGACTATTATCCTAATCCCTCCAATAAGAAAAGAAACAAAAGATTCGCCATTAACTAAAGTTCAATAGGCCTGCATCGAAACATGATTTTACATATATATATCGACGACGTCTATCCTATGTTGAACTGAAATATAGCCTAACTATAGTCTATAGCAGCCACCATCACCATGTAATTATGAAGTGGTCCGGTGAGAACATTCATAAACCAAAAGTACAAACTACAGTTACTACGGACTGGTTGATCATCGTTTACTGATCTTCAATTGTCTTGTTTCTATAGTTAGAATTCATTTAATGGTATCAGTAATGATTTTCGACTTCAAAATTTATTATTTCTCTTGTTTAATTTCATCACATTTAATGAAATCATTTGTTGAAGTTCGCTTTTGATTGACATTTTGGTTTTGATCAACTGTGGAGGGCCGGTTAATTGGGAGAGGAGAATGGGTAAACTTCTAACCGGTAAAGCTAAGTTAATCTATATTTGATCAAACCGGAACTAATTTAGAGAACCGGTTAAACTGAAAACAATGCCTAACCGGTGAATGTAAAATTAAGAAGAAAAAAAACAAATATAAACTTTTGGGTTGCCACAAAACAGATTACTTTATACAGAGAATATTCAATTGCGCTAGTATTAAAAATGGGAATATAGATGGTTAGCCTCTAAACACTCGTCTAGGGAAGAGGAAGCAGCAGAAGGTTTACGACATCAAAAAACGTTATACCGACGATAATCCCCGTGACTTTTTAAAGAAATCTATAACAATTTTATTTTATTCTAAGGCAAAAATGGAATAGATTTAAAAAGATTATGCACCTTTTCTAAAAACGATTTATTTCTAGTTGAATTCCGAATAAATAGTAAAAATAAATATTAGCAAAAAAACAATTAAAAGAGTAAGAAAGAAAATTTACCAAATAACCACGAAATACAGACTGTATCTTAATAGCAGCAAGACCTTCACGACTGTCGCGGCGGCGTTCCTGACCGTCGAAACTGCTAACATGCACTGACACGTCATCGAGTCCGTCACTAAAATGCGCTGCGACGGGACTACGCGTCAGCCTCCCACTCGTGCTCGTGAGCCTAACGGCCGCAGCTGCAGAATTAGCTGCGGTGACGGCGGCTTCAGCGACCAAAGCAGTGGCAGCGGCCATAGCAATCGCATGCTTGTCGGAATCCACGTCTGTCTCTTCCTCCCATACTAGCTTCTGTTTGCACCGCCGTCTGTGAGGCGACGGAGATGATTTGTGGTACGATGATGACGGTGGAGGGGTTGAGTTCGGTAACGAAGAAGGAGTATGAGGATGCTGACTCGGATGTGCGGCCGCATTTTCGCGTTTGGATTTGACGAAGCTCCATCGGCGTTTTGGATAGGAACGTGAAGGCGTCTCGAAGGATGGATCCGGATAACCCGGGTCGGGTTTCTTGAGTCCGAGTAGATTCCGGAACCACCGCGAAGCTTTTCCCATTACAAAACGAACGAAACGACAGCGTTTCCTCTATTGCCGGCTTCTTGCTCGTTTTGGAGTGAGAGAGAGTTTGGGAAGAGTTAAGTAGTCGCAGCAGTAGAACACAGTGTTGTAGTTAGTACCACGCTCCCCACTCGCGCGTGAAATCTCTCGCTCTTCCCCCCATGAAATATTGTTAATCACTATATTATTTTATGCGAATTTAGTCAAGATGCGTTGGTAATTTTTGTTTATTTCATCCAATCCATAAGAGAAGGAAACAAATTTTAGAGTTGAGTTTAGGAAAACTAAAATAAAAATTTGCAATTACTCTACAATCCATTAGCTTAGCAGTTGTTACCAATCAAAAGAAAAATCAATGATGATGGACATAGACCATAATATGTGAGTGAATGTTCCATCTCAAAAACACATGCGACTAATTTGTTATTATTGGATCTCTCTTTGATCATAACCAGTCACAAGCCTATGTAACCAAATCCAAAATGTAAAAAAAAAAATTTTTGTCAAATCCAAAATGTAATATTTTGTTAAATTAAGTATGTGTACACTGTATATATATATATATATTTTTTTTTTTCGTCATGTGAATCTGGGAAATAATATATGATGACTTCAAGGAACAGAGAGATGACAAAAAGCAGTTTACAGAGAGATGGTCCATACTATGATCCCATAACGGATGACGCCAATGACTGTTGTTAACTATCCTTTTTCTTCACTACATCATCACGTTTTTGTGGTCCCTACGCCGTTTTGTTTCGTCTCCTAACGGGATCGCGCCGTCCGCTGCGTCGTCGTTTTTATAGAAGTCGGAATACAATTCTTTTATTTGTTTGGTGTTTCCTTTGTCTTTTGTCTTTTTTGTCTTTTACGCATTTAAAATGTTTGTCATCAGTTATAAATGGAGGTTATATTTTCGGACTGAATATAGATTACCGTAGTAGTGTGTATGACAAATGTATCATGTTTTGTTTTGTTACTGGCTTATTATTGCTGCATAGCTGTTCGTAACAGTCGTGGTGCTGTATGAATGAAAACTACGTAGTTATCAACATATCATGAATACATAAATTAACGGTATACACTAGAAAGTTTTTTTTTACATTAGAAAGTTTTATGACAAGAGATGGGGCTAAACTCGTCGTGTTCGTATATGGATGTTAATTATATATATCATGCATGTGTCAGAAATCTTTGATAATATCAATCATTTTCTTAGCAGATAATATCAATCTTTTAAAGATCCATTTCCAAGAACAGATATCATGACACTCAAACTAAATACAAAGGTACCTAACCAAAATGAACTGAGTAACGAACTTAGGATACTAATTAAGGTCAGCTGTGAATCTTCAGTATACTCCAAATGTATAACCATAACTACAAATGAACAAACACTGTTAACAAAGATGTTTTAACTAATAATCATAATGATGCCAATGTTCACGTGTTCTACTTAGAAGAATCTAACTCGTAGTCGTAAAAGGAAAAAGGAAATTTGACCGACAAATAATACACTGGAAACGACGGTATATCTCATGCAAGTGAGAAAGAGACATCTCTCATGCAAGTGAGAAAGAGACATCGCAGAGACTCAAAGAGATGGAAGGGCATCGGACCAAAAGGCCGTTCCGATTTTTCCACGTCTCGGACAACAACAGATTATGGAGCCTACATGAATCTTAGTTTAGTCGTATATAGTAGACTGGTAGTGGTGGACGATGGTTGTTGACTTTGTTCAACGCTTCTTCGTGCATGTTTGTACGTGTCTCTTGCATGTGATGGTCAAAATTGGCAGCGGAATTATTGTTTGCTTCCCGCGTTAAAAATAATATTTGTTTGGAAGAGATATTGTATTCTTTTTTTTTTTTTTTTTTTGATAAAGGGCATTCTATTAAAATTGCAGAGAAAAAAGAAAAACATCACAGCCCATCTGGCATTGTTTTGTTGTGGACCTATTAGCCCATAATACAAACCCATGTATGCACATAATTGAAACCCAACTTTAACAGTAGTAAGCCCGTAGGGGACATAATAGGGAAGGCCCAAGCTTAAAAGCTTAGATCATAGTAGCGACTCTACGCGTTCCAGACGGAGAAAACAGAGGAGGAGAAGCGTGGTGATGAGTGGCTGATTGCAGATATTTTGGCTCGGATTGTTGCTGCTATGGAGGTGATGATCGCCTCTGGGGGTCTTGAGATTTGTCTATGAAGTCTGTTGTTTCGTTCCGACCAGAGGGAGTACATCAAGCATTGCCAAGCGAGAGTAGAGAGGTACCTGACTTGGCGAGGACGATGTTGTTGCTGCAAGTCCGAGATCGTCTGGTCCCAGGAGATAGAAGGAGAAAAACCGCATCTTCTAGCTGTTGGTTCCCAAACCCTCCACGTATAGATGCAGCAGAAGAAGAGGTGATCACGGGTTTCAGGGGCGCTATTACACAGAAGGCTAGATGGATCGGTTGGCAGACCCCAGCTCAGCAGACGGTCTCTCGTAGGGCACCTGTTTAGAACAAGAAGCCACGCGAGAAAGCTGTGCTTTGGGATGCCTTGTCGCAGCCAAATAATCTCTGACCAGGTAACAACTGGATTATGGTGCCTTATCTCCTTGTATACTAGTCCAGTGATGAACTTTGTATAATTCCTGTTGTTGATAATCCATTCGTATTGATCTTCCTGATGAGAGAGTACTAGCGTGGATATGAAGATTTGAAGTTGTACTTGCTCTTCTGATCGTGCAGGTGGTAAGGCCCATTGGTCATTGATGTAGAGGTCTGCAATGGTCGCTTGAGCAGGGATCCCTAGCCTTGAGCCCTGTCCGAGATGTAAGAAGTCTGAGATTTTCCCAAACGGAGACCAATTATCACTCCAAAACCTGGTATGTCTCCCATTCCCTATACTCATTTTGATCCAGTTGTACACAAGGGGCCGCAACCGAAGTAGACGTTTAACGAGCCAGGAATGGTTGTTTGATTCTTTCATTGTCCAGAAATTGGAGCGATTGCCTGCAAGAATTTCATCAACAAACCAAGCAACCCAAATAGAACCAGAGCTGAAAAAGAGAAGCCAAATAAGTCTGATTGAAGTGGCTTTGTTCCAGCTAACTAGATCTCGAATTCCAAGTCCTCCCTCTTCTTTTGCGTGAACTATTGTCTCCCACGCTACACGAGCTGAATGATGTCCCTCCAAGGTCCCTTTCCATAGGTAAGCTCCACAGAGAGAATTTATAATCTTGATACAAGATTTCGGTAGAGTAAAAGTGCTACACCAGAAATTAGTAATGCCTGCCAAGACTGTATTAATAAGTAGTAATCTTCCTGCAAAGGAAAGTGATTTAGCTGACCAAGAATTTAGTTTCCCTTTTATGCTCGATATCAAAGGCTCACAGTTTGATAGGGATAATTTTTTGGTGCAGAGTGGTACTCCGAAATATCTGATTGGTAGGGTTCCATGTGTTAGACCAGTCTCTGCAGCAATTTCATCTATTTCTGTTTGTGTGAGGCCGCAAGAGAAGAAACAGGTTTTTGAAAGGCTAACCCCAAGACCAGAATTTAATTCAAACTCTTTTAGCACTTCAAGGACTCCTCTGATTGATTGCTTGTCTCCCTTTGTAAAAATGAGCAGATCATCAGCGAAACAAAGATGGGTTAGCTTGGTGTCTTCGCATTTATGATGGTATCCGAAACGTCCTTGCGCTGCTGCATTATCAAGAAGAATAGAGAGGCAGTTCATTGCAATCACAAAAAGATAAGGAGAAAGAGGATCTCCCTGTCGCAGTCCTCTACTGCTTTTGAAGTATCCCTGAACCGTTCCATTGTAACCTACAGTGAAGGAAGGGGTGCAGACACAGGCTCTCAGCCAGCGAATGTATAGAGAGGGAAGGCCAATGTTTCCCAAGCAGGTAAATATGAAGTCCCAGCTGATTGTATCAAAGGCTTTGGCTATGTCAACTTTTATGGCTATGCGTTTGGCTCCTTTGTTGCGGTGATACCCTTGTACTACCTCTGCTGCCAACACTGTGTTCTCAACTAAGAGGCGGCCCTGGACAAAAGCTGTCTGATTAGGGAGTATTAGATCAGGGAGAATTGGCTTGAGTCTATGAACCAGCAGTTTTGAGATTGCTTTGTACAAGGTGTTGCAGCATGAAATAGGTCTGAAGTCTCCTATAGCAGAGGCACCTGGTCTCTTTGGAACTAGTGTGAGGATAGTAGAATTTGTAGCAGAAGGGAGGAAAGTTGTTCTGAAGAAGGTTGAGATTGCAGCCAGTGTTTCTGATCCCAACAGATGCCAAGCCGCCGTAAAAAATCCAGAGGTAAGACCATCCGGCCCTGGTGCTTTATTTGCATTTAGTTTCATGATGACCTTTGTTATTTCTGCAGCATCAGGGAGAGTGACCATTGCTTGAGCCTGAGCAGCCTGACAACGGTAGGGGATTAGAGCTTGGAACCATTCAGTAGAGGACACTGAAGATGGAGTAGCTATGGGAGATAGGAGGTTCTGAAAATGGCCCACAGCGTGTAATCCCATGGCTAGGGGGTCAGAGATTACTGTCCCTGATGGGAGAGTAAATGATCTGATCGAGTTGAAAGAAGCTCTCACTTGGACCAGTCGGTGGAAAAAGGTAGTATTCAAGTCTCCCTCCTTCAACCAGTCGACCCTAGATTTCTGCTTGAAATATGATTCCTCTATTGTCCTTAAGAAGCACCATTTGTCGAATAATTCTTTCTCCTGTTGAAATAGGTCCTCCGAAGGATTGTTTAGCGCCTCAACCTGCACAGCTTGTAACAAACAGTTAGTCTCTCGCACTCTTTCTTGAATTTTTGAGAAATTTTCACGATTTAGTGCTTTAAGTGGTCCTTTTATTTTTCTGAGTTTGTAACAGAGAAGAGTGAGATCAAACGCATTCCCTCCGGCTTGTTTCCACGCATCCTCAAGGGTAGAAAGGAACTTATGGTGTTTGGTTAAGTAGTTGAAGAATTTGAAAGGGCGGGTTCCTGAAAT